AACTTTAAATTACATGTGTATATTTCTTACACATATATAAATGTCACTGTTAATGTATATGAAAGCTTACATTTTATATATAGTTTCCTTTAATATAACAGTTAAATCTATAAGAAGCAAACTGAAACACAATCTCGTCTCTTAATTTCTGTTTATAAACATTTAAACCCCTATTGTATTTACACCAGACAAACTGATTTTCACGGCTTGTTGATGTGGTCAGCGCCGAGGGGGAGAGCAGGGGATGGGGGTGCCATCCCCGTTTTTTTGTTGGGTGATCACCCAGCTCCTTTTTTTTCTTGGGGTGAACACTGGGAGTGCCTGTTTTTTTTTGGCTCCCCATTCCGTGATTATCGGAGAGACTAAATTTATACCTATTTAATTGAAAAAACCTAGTTTTACAGCTTTTTTTAAAGGGACCCTTGACTTGGGGTTATTTGCACACAGTATGCAACATATTTGACCACAGTGTGGCCTTTACCGGTTCAGAAAACCAAAATTTTTAGAAATGGTTTGCCAGCTAAGGTTAAAGATTAAAATGGGGGGTACTTAGCAGAAAAGACAGCTATCCCCCACCACCCCCCCGCAGGCGGGGTCTTGAGAAGGGGGTCTTGACCACTTCAAACGGGCGTGATAGAGTAATTTTTTAATAATAAGAAACCCCTGGGGGGTTTTTATGTCACAATTTCATTCACTGACTGCTGACGAAACTTGCGTGTGTGGACCAAAACCCGCACCTCACGCCGACTGTAGGTTGATTAAAAACCCTTGCGACACAAAACTGCGCAGCCCCCCATACTACAAAAATTCGTAACCTCCCTTTGATCTTGTAGCGTGAGCTAGGTTTTCTCTGCCCCCCTCGACAGGTATGGGGGGGACTTGATAAACTGAAGTGTCCTTGGATGTCCACATCTTCCCAAAGCTAGGAAATAAAGCACACGGGTACATTTGGTTCCACAAGGTTTGTCTTTATTGTTCACAATTTTATCACTAAAGAACTGATCACACTTCTCGTAAGTGTTTATCTGGTACCAAATGGGACGTTTTGTCCCAACCCTGCCTGAGCTCTAGTAAACCCCACTACCTGACCCTGCCTGACACCAAGTCAAACCCAGCAAACCAGATCTCTCCTGAATCTAGGCCAGACCTGGCTACTGACCTCTCCCTGAACAAAAAGGTCAACCCAGCTACCAGAGCCTCCCCGAACCCCGGGTCAATTCAGTACCAAATCTGACCTATACGAATCAGTACATCAGCGGGATCCGTCCGAAATTTCCCCTAATTCTTCAATAAATCTTAATTAAGGGAAAAACCCATGCGACTTCACAGCACCCCACCTGTTCTTTGTCACATTTTCACTCACCTATATTTTTTTCGCTTTTGCTTTTATCGCATGTCTTTTCAGAAAGTCAGAGGGAGTTGTGTGGTCCGCATCCACACTTCCCTTTGATGTCACGATGGTGCCCAACGTTACTCCGGATGAACCTCGAAAAAGTCTCCCCGAGTCACCTCGGACGTCACCCACGACGTCTGCCCACTCACCTGAGACACACCAGGGCATCTGCTCGATGTCATGCTAAATCTGCCTATTCCCTAGCAAAACACCCCACGACATCCCCACACATTACGCCTGACATCACCACTGATGTTAAAATAAACAATGTCAAGTTTCACAGTGACATTTATATTCAGTATTCGAAAACGATTGAGAGAAGATTGTCACTGTTAATTCCTCCCCCCAGTCAGTGCCCTTTACAGTGTTTTCCCTATGTTCGGAATGCCTTTGTGTCGATTTTTTTCAGAAAAGCACTTTTTTCTATGAAGCCATGCAGTAAATGCATTCCCGTGCGGGTGTGGGGAATTTTTTCGTGTTTCCAATGTGTGGTCTGAGCCCCCTATGGTGCTAACCGCGTGTGGTTGAACCTAACAATTTTGGGAACACCCTCGTGTTACAATCACAGTTTTTACCATTTGATAACCGACCTAGTTTGTCCAGGGGTCTTTTTTTTAGTGTTGACCCCCGTGTATAGAAAGTTCTTTTGCCATCACTCATTTATGTCATGCTGAGTCTACCTGGGGCGACCCCCTGTTGAACTCGTTTCAAATCACCCCCCAGACTGCCCCGAGGGGGAGTATGTGGGAGAAAATCAGCGAGGGCACTTGACAACCTCGCATGAATTCATCTGTTGAGAATACATCGGAAACCGCAGTAGCCCGTCAGCAACTTCAGTGAACCTCCAATGTATGATGTCTCTTTGACTGCTTTCCTGCTCACTCCAGTTATGGTGTAGCTGCTCGACTCCCGATGTGTCCCTACCATGACCACAACCCCGCCGGCAGGACAGCCCCAGGGCAGTACCATCGAGAAATGTCCTCCTAAGTCACTTTCCAAAAAGTCCTGCCCCAATTTCCCGAACTGATGAGCCTCACTCGAGGCACAAGCAAGTTTTTCCCAGGATGATGAACCCTATGACAACCCCCGATGACTGTTTTACAGATCCAGACGAGACGTACCCTGAATGCCATAGCTCTCTGCAGGATGTCTCCTGTGTTTTCAGTATCTTCCAGATGCAGGAAGGGATGCAGTGATGCCCACGACTCACTGCCTTGGACCATGTTGCGGGCACCCACTCTTTTTTGTCCATGTACACATGTATAGATATGTATTTTTTTCTGTGTTCTGCATCCGTTCCTGTGAGAGAGACGGTTTTTTTTTAGTCAATCAGGTCGAGACGACCAGGGGAGGGGGCCGACGATGTAAGCCCCGTTTTGGGGTTTATTTTGCAGCACATGGGCTGACACCTAGTGCATACCACCAAACTCACCACAACCAGCTTACCCTGCTCCACCGGCAGCCGACGTCACTCAGTCCACAAGGGCTACCGTCACTCTCTCCGGGTATGGCCCCTTGGGGCCCCTTAACAACTGCCTTTACCCAAAACCCAATAAAACTACACGACGCCTCCGAAGCCTTAATGCACATTCACCATTTTCAATTGTAATACTGGTTCCTAGAACCTCTGCCTGATCCCCAGGTCAGACCCGGTTACCAGAGCCTCTGCCTGATCCCCAGGGCAGACCCGTTTCCCCAAACCTCTGCCTGATCCCCAGGTCAACCCCTTTTCCAAGCCCCCCCCCCCTGCCCCGATCCCCAGGGGCAGACCCGTTTTCCAGAGCCTCTGCCTATCCCCAGGTCAGACCCTTACCAAGCCCTGCCCGATCCCCAGGTTTAAAACCCGGGTTTCCAGGCCTCTGTCTGATCCCCAGGTCAGGCCCGGTTACCAGAGCCTCTGCCTGATCCCCAGGTCAGGCCCGGTTACCAGAGCCTCTGCCTGATCCCCAGGTCAGGCCCGGTTACCAGAGCCTCTGCCTGATCCCCAGGTCAGACCCGGTTACCAGAGCCTCTGCCTGATCCCCAGGTCAGGCCCGGTTACCAGAGCCTCTGTCTGATCCCCAGGTCAGCCATAAATGAAATATATGCAATAAAAAAATACCAAAAAAATTTCACGGAAGTAGTACTGACTATAACAGTGAAGCTGTATTTAATTTAACTGTAAGTTTATATAACCTCAACAAAGATACCAGCAAAGACAAAGAAGTGGGGTTTGTGTGGTATTAAATATCACGTAAACCTCAGCTTGAATACTCTGGGGTTGGTAACTTCATCTTTAAATGAAAATAATTATAGAAAGCAATGATCTTTCAAGCCTTTCAGAAGTTATTAAATAATGAACCTATCAAAAATATAGTAATAAAAGTAACTCTAAAACGAACAATAAAACTAAATTAACAAACAAAAATCAAGAATAATATTTTTTTTACCCCTTGACTAACGTAGATCATCAACACCGCAATTCTTACACTTAATTCCAGCGAAATTTATGTGAAATAATCAGCATAAGTTATATGACAAACAAACACTCATGATAACAAGTAAATGAGAGCAAAAAACTCGTAAGATGGAAGCTAACTTGAACCATCCGTCATCTTCTTACAAATGACTCTCCATACCAAATTCCACTTCAAAAAAAAATAATGTATTAAAACAGCAAAGAAGCTAAGATAATTATCTCCATGAGAATGCACAAGAAAAACCCACTAAAGATAGCCTTAAATTTACAACAAAAAAAACAATTTATCATGCACCATAATTTTTTAGGGTACCGTAACCAGCTGAAAGGCATCGTTCAAATATTCCAAACGGTCCAAAGGCGGGTTTATCATCTAAACTAATAACACCGCGTCAGGAAAACACTTCATCTATGTTTAATTCAATGAGAAACCTTATAACCAATCCTTTAAAATATAAATCCTAAAATTCCCTCACATTGTAGCTAAAAAAATCCTTTAATCCCACTGCAGCAGTATTGAACCTTATTACTACAACACACTGAGGTTAACATAATCGCAATTATACGAAAACATTCAATAAATACTTATGGTTACATGCAGCTGTGTTTATAATAACTAAAACTCCCAGTTACAACACTCGTATTACAAAGCTATATCAGATACAGACAAATACACTCTCATCTATTTTATAAACTTGCTAATAGAACATTCACTTATATACCAATCCTAAGAAATATTTAAATCCTGCAAAATTTAGTTTCAGGTATTAAGTCAGAGCTGAACATGAAACTTAGTTGTACGAGCGCCAGTTGAAGATGGAAGTGAGGGTAAATCACTATATATCTGACATCTGTTTACCTAGCAGTGATTAGGTACCTTAATGTTAGTTAACAGTCGTGGGTGGCATCATGAGGAGTGGTAGTATACCTTAGATAAATACAGTTATAACAATAGAAAAGTCAACAAAATGAAATTTTTTTGGATAATCAATTTATCAACTACACTTATAAATTATCACATGAAAATCAGTATTTCAGTTTTCCAAATTACTCCCCGAAAAGTCAAGCTGGAACCTACACAGGTGGCCAAAATCAATCCCAACTTACTGAGAGAAGCTGAAATTACCATGCAGTTGAAGAACAGGAGAGAGAGAGAGAGAGAAGAGCAGACTTACTATCCACCGAAGATGCAGTAGAGCTTGACTTCGTCTCCCTGGAGAGCTGTTACTTCGTGGTCACTGACGTACTGCTTGACGGGGGGAAGGTTACTCTCTGGTAGTGTGCTCTTGTCATCCCCTGGGTAACTTACGTTCAGGTATACCCAGTTACCCATCCGGTACTCAGTCCTAGACACACACACACACATAAACACTCACGTTACTAACTTGTTCACTATTGAAATACTTTCTAGAATTATTGACATGTAATTCTTAATATCCAAAATAAATAATTCTTGAGAACATGAGTGTATAAAAGTTAAACAAAAAATATATGCAAGTGTTTGCAATAAAATAAAAGCATATTCATTAGAAGAAAAACTAATGTATTTACAGAAATTTAAATTAATATATATAATAATATATATATATATATAATATTATATATATATATATATATATATATATATATATATATATATATATATATATATATATATATTTTTTTTATTTTTTTTTATTATCACACTGGCCGATTCCCACCAAGGCAGGGTGGCCCGAAAAAGAAAAACTTTCACCATCATTCACTCCATCACTGTCTTGCCAGAAGGGTGCTTTACACTACAGTTTTTAAACTGCAACATTAACACCCCTCCTTCAGAGTGCAGGCACTGTACTTCCCATCTCCAGGACTCAAGTCCGGCCTGCCGGTTTCCCTGAATCCCTTCATAAATGTTACTTTGCTCACACTCCAACAGCACGTCAAGTATTAAAAACCATTTGTCTCCATTCACTCCTATCAAACACGCTCACGCATGCCTGCTGGAAGTCCAAGCCCCTCGCACACAAAACCTCCTTTACCCCCTCCCTCCAACCTTTCCTAGGCCGACCCCTACCCCGCCTTCCTTCCACTACAGACTGATACACTCTTGAAGTCATTCTGTTTCGCTCCATTCTCTCTACATGTCCGAACCACCTCAACAACCCTTCCTCAGCCCTCTGGACAACAGTTTTGGTAATTCCGCACCTCCTCCTAACTTCCAAACTACGAATTCTCTGCATTATATTCACACCACACATTGCCCTCAGACATGACATCTCCACTGCCTCCAGCCTTCTCCTCGCTGCAACATTCATCACCCACGCTTCACACCCATATAAGAGCGTTGGTAAAACTATACTCTCATACATTCCCCTCTTTGCCTCCAAGGACAAAGTTCTTTGTCTCCACAGACTCCTAAGTGCACCACTCACTCTTTTTCCCTCATCAATTCTATGATTCACCTCTTCTTTCATAAACCCATCCGCTGACACGTCCACTCCCAAATATCTGAATACGTTCACCTCCTCCATACTCTCTCCTCCAATCTGATATTCAATCTTTCATCACCTAATCTTTTTGTTATCCTCATAACCTTACTCTTTCCTGTATTCACCTTTAATTTTCTTCTTTTGCACACCCTACCAAATTCATCCACCAATCTCTGCAGCTTCTCTTCAGAATCTCCCAAGAGCACAGTGTCATCAGCAAAGAGCAGCTGTGACAACTCCCACTTTGTGTGTGATTCTTTATCTTTTAACTCCAGCCTCTTGCCAAGACCCTCGCATTTACTTCTCTTACAACCCCATCTATAAATATATTAAACAACCACGGTGACATCACACATCCTTGTCTAAGGCCTACTTTTACTGGGAAAAAATTTCCCTCTTTCCTACATACTCTAACTTGAGCCTCACTATCCTCGTAAAACTCTTCACTGCTTTCAGTAACCTACCTCCTACACCATACACTTGCAACATCTGCCACATTGCCCCCCTATCCACCCTGTCATACGCCTTTTCCAAATCCATAAATGCCACAAAGACCTCTTTAGCCTTATCTAAATACTGTTCACTTATATGTTTCACTGTAAACACCTGGTCCACACACCCCCTACCTTTCCTAAAGCCTCCTTGTTCATCTGCTATCCTATTCTCCGTCTTACTCTTAATTCTTTCAATTATAACTCTACCATACACTTTACCAGGTACACTCAACAGACTTATCCCCCTATAATTTTTGCACTCTCTTTTATCCCCTTTGCCTTTATACAAAGGAACTATGCATGCTCTCTGCCAATCCCTAGGTACCTTACCCTCCTCCATACATTTATTAAATAATTGCACCAACCACTCCAAAACTATATCCCCACCTGCTTTTAACATTTCTATCTTTATCCCATCAATCCCGGCTGCCTTACCCCCTTTCATTTTACCTACTGCCTCACGAACTTCCCCCACACTCACAACTGGCTCTTCCTCACTCCTACAAGATGTTATTCCTCCTTGCCCTATACACGAAATCACAGCTTCCCTATCTTCATCAACATTTAACAATTCCTCAAAATATTCCCTCCATCTTCCCAATACCTCTAACTCTCCATTTAATAACTCTCCTCTCCTATTTTTAACTGACAAATCCATTTGTTCTCTAGGCTTTCTTAACTTGTTAATCTCACTCCAAAACTTTTTCTTATTTTCAACAAAATTTGTTGATAACATCTCACCCACTCTCTCATTTGCTCTCTTTTTACATTGCTTCACCACTCTCTTAACCTCTCTCTTTTTCTCCATATACTCTTCCCTCCTTGCATCACTTCTACTTTGTAAAAACTTCTCATATGCTAACTTTTTCTCCCTTACTACTCTCTTTACATCATCATTCCACCAATCACTCCTCTTCCCTCCTGCACCCACTTTCCTGTAACCACAAACTTCTGCTGAACACTCTAACACTACATTTTTAAACCTACCCCATACCTCTTCGACCCCATTGCCTATGCTCTCATTAGCCCATCTATCCTCCAATAGCTGTTTATATCTTACCCTAACTGCCTCCTCTTTTAGTTTATAAACCTTCACCTCTCTCTTCCCTGATGCTTCTATTCTCCTTGTATCCCATCTACCTTTACTCTCAGTGTAGCTACAACTAGAAAGTGATCTGATATATCTGTGGCCCCATCTATAAAACAGTACATCCTGAAGTCTACTCAACAGTCTTTATCTACCAATACATAATCCAACAAACTACTGTCATTTCGCCCTACATCATATCGTGTATACTTATTTATCCTCTTTTTCTTAAAATATGTATTACCTATAACTAAACCCCTTTCTATACAAAGTTCAATCAAAGGGCTCCCATTATCATTTACACCTGGCACCCCAAACTTACCTACCACAACCCTCTCTAAAAGTTTCTCCTACTTTAGCATTCCGGTCCCCTACCACAATTACTCTCTCACTTGGTTCAAAGGCTCCTAAACATTCACTTAACATCTCCCAAATCTCTCTCTCTCCTCTGCATTCCTCTCTTCTCCAGGTGCATACACGCTTATTAGACCCACTTCTCGCATCCAACCTTTACTTTAATCCACATATTTCTTGAATTTACACATTCATATTCTCTTTCTCCTTCCATAACTGATCATTTAACATACTGCTACCCCTTCCTTTGCTCTAACTCTCTCAGATACTCCAGATTTAATCCCATTTATTTCCCCCCACTGAAATTCTCCTACCCTCTTCAGCTTTGTTTCGCTTAGAGCCAGGACATCCAACTTCTTTTCATTCATAACATCAGCAATCATCTGTTTCTTGTCATCCGCACTACATCCACGCACATTTAAGCATCCCAATTTTATAAAGTTTTTCTTCTTCTCTTTTTTAGTAAATGTATACAGGAGAAGGGGTTACTAGCCCATTGCTCCGGCATTTTAGTCGCCTCATACGACACGCATGGCTTACGGAGGAAAGATTCTTTTCCACTTCCCCATGGACAATAGAAGAAATAAAAAAGAACAAGAGCTATTTAAAAAAGGAGAAAAACCTAGATGTATGTATATATATATATGCATGTGCGTGTCTGTGAAGTGTTGACCAAAGTGTAAATAGGAGTAGCAAGATATCCCTGTTATCTAGCGTGTTTATGAGACAGAAAAAGAAACCAGCAATCCTACCATCATGCAAAACAGTTACAGGTTTTTGTTTCACAGTCATCTGGCAGGACGGTAGTACTTCCCTGGGTGGTTGCTGTCTACCAACCTACTACCTATAGTGTAAATATATATAATATATATATATATATATATATATATATATATATATATATATATATATATATATATAAATATATATATGTATGTATGTATCATTTACCATACTGCAGCAGATCAGGGTTCGACCCCACGACACACTGTCCCGCCTCAAACGTGATATGTATGCAAGGGATGGGGTTCATTCCTCTGGGGATGGAGTGGCTGCATTAGCCAATTCAACTGAGAGGGTAATTGATGATTTGTCTAGGAATTTAAACTGATAGATTATAGAGGTATTGGTGTTTGTGGGAAACAATCAGGCTGCAGCATTAGGGTTAAAAACAGCAGTTATTACCGGGATACCTCAGGGATATGTTTAAAAGGCAATATTCAAAATAAAGTTGCTAGTAATGGCAACAAATCAATTGATCAACAAACAAAAAGAGATAGTAGAGGTCAGCGAGTGACTAGCTCCCTTAAAGTTTACTATACAAATAGTAGGAGTCTAAGAAATAAGATAGATGAGCTAAGATTACTTGCAAGTGTAGGTAATATTATTGGTATAACAGAGACCTGGTTCAACCTGAAAGATAGAGAAATGCCTTCTGAATGCAACATACAGGGTTATAAACTATTCCACACTTATAGGGTCAAAAGGAAGGGTGGTGGAGTGGCGATGAAAGTCAGAGAAAATTTAAATTGTTGTCTTAGACATGATATAAGATTAAAAACATCGAACACAGAATCTGTTTGGCTACAGTTTCTCGAGGGACGTGACAAATTAATTTTGGGTGTGATTTATAGGCCCCTAAACCTTGATAGGGAGTGCAGTAAGCTGTTATGGGACGAAATTCATAAGGCATCTAGATATGAAAATGTTGTGATAATGGGAGATTTTAACTTTAGACAAATTGACTGGAACATTATGACAGGAAATCTTGAGTCTAATGACTTTCTTGATACGGTTCAGGATTGCTTTTTAGAACAGGTTGTGACAGAACCAACTAGAGGAAACAATCTGCTTGACTTGGTTCTTTCCAACAAAGATTCACTAATTAATAATCTTGAGGTTAATGATGAGCTTGGGGAAAGTGATCACAAATCACTTAGTTT